CTCACACACACAATCACACACACACACACACACGCACACCCACGCACGCGCGCACACACAGACACACAGACACAGACACAGACACCGACACAGACACAGACACAGACACACACACGCGCGCACACACAGAGACACAGACACAAAGACACACACACACACACACACACGCACGCACGCACGCACGCACGCACGCACGCACGCACGCACGCACGCACGCACGCACGCACGCACACACGCACACACACACACACACACACACACACACACGCGCACACACCGTTCCCGAACATTCAAAAGCGCAACATGCTCAGAAGCGCAGTTGCTCAAATGTCCCCGCGCTGCCTCTCTGGATCGAGAAAAAAGCGGGGGAGGCGCAGGAAAGGGGGGGGAGGCGGCGGATCTTGCCTCGGCTCCACGGGGCGCTGCGCTGGCAGGTGCAACGGCACCTCGGCAGCCGAAGGGGGGGGGAAGAAAAGGGTTTTGGGGGCGGAGGAGACGGGGGAGGAGGAGGGGGAGGAGAAGGAGGAGGAGGAGGAGGAGGAGGGGGAGGAGGGGGAGGCGGGGGAGGAGAAGCAGGAGTGCGAACCCAAGACTCACCAACGATGCTGCAATAAACCCTCCCTCCAAGGTCCCTTGTCTCCACAGGTCCCTACAACGATTAATTCTCACTGAAAGACGCCCGTTGGAAGACAACTGTCTGAGAATCTTGAACCGCGCCAGAATACTATCCCTGCGCTTTCAGCGCCATTGTTGAACCAAGTTCAAAAGATTGGAACCAGCTCACGTTCGAAACCCATTCGGGAGGTCGCGACAACTTACAACGCGCCGCGGATCGTCGGATCTGCTTCGCCGCCGAGCCCATCCCAAAAACGTGAGCTTGAACTTTGTAACAGCGTTGGCCTTGCACTTCATCTAGAAGTTGATGATATTGACATGCGACCCCTTGCCATCGCTCGGACGTCCATTCCCTGTGCATTTTTCGGTTTCGTGCGTGTTTCTTTTTGTTCGATGGTCCAGGATGCTTCTCCAGGGTCCTCGCCGAGAACAAAAAAATCCTACGTCCGAGCGATGCCAGGGCCCTGTCGCGCCCCCCCAGCCAACTCCAAGGCATGAATTTTTCTGCGCGACCCTAGCCGCGACCACGAGGGCCTCCCACGGGGCCCAGAAAGGCCAAAACGAGGCAAGGGCAGCGGAGTCGGCGCCGCCTCCCCCCCACCAGAACTTCAAGGCGAATCCCGCCGCGGCCGCGAGGGCCCTCCCCTTGAGGCCCAACAGGGCCAAACGAAGCAAGGGCAGCTGACTCGGTGCTTCTGCCTCCCATAGCTTCGGGGCGAAGCCGGCCGTGGCCACGAGGGCCTCCCAGGGGGCCCGAAAAAAGTCGCAACGATGCACGGCCAGCGGATTCGTCACCTCTTCCGCCCGTCGGAAATTCGAGGAAACGCCGGCCGCGGCCGCGAGGGCCTCCCAGGGGGCCCAAGACGACAAAACCAACAACAAATCACGGAAAATAGGAGACGAGGGCAGCGGATTCGGCACCTCTTCCTCCTACCAGGAATGCGAGCGGCCGAGGTAGGCACAGGCAGTCGCCCTGGAAAAGCAATTACGTTAGGGCTTGGGTCCCGGTGGAGGGAAGGTTAGACGTTCGAAAACTGAAAGTTGAAAACCAACTTCCATATGTTGGAACATGTTTCGAACACGTTTAGGATCGTTTGGGGCAAATTCAAGCAGGAACCCACGGGAAGTCCGAACGCGCCCCTGATATTCGAAAATGTCCAAACTTGGCGGACTTCAAGATTATCGCGACGTTGAACTTTGTAGCAGCATTGGCCTCGGACTGCTCCAGGGCTTTGATCCTATTAACAGAAGGCCCGTTGGAACGCCCTTAGCCAAATACAGAACAAATTGGCGCCACCCTGTTCCCCGAGGCACTCTCTGCGCGAATGCTCAGCGTCCGAATTACCACGCGGCAAAAAAACACTGACCTTGGCATTTCCCCCCCGTCACCTGAGCGCGCGCGCATGCAAGGTACAACGCGAGAAGGGAAAAACACATCGATGGGAACCAGCTTGTTTTCACTCCTCTCCTGAACACATACCTCCTCTTGGCCAGATCCAGATGCTTGAGCGTAACGCGTGATGGATGATGCGGCAGCGAGCCCCGTGGAATCAAAATGCGGTTCCGATTCCTGTTCGTGCAACAGGGACTTACGGCTTCCCGTGTACGTTACCATTGCCGTCCTGCGTTCGCCCATGCACTCAGGGCTCCCGGACCGTCGGCCCTTCTCGTAGCAAATCTTGCGTCTAGAGCGTGTTTTGATATCCTGGAGACGTCGGTTGCGCTTCTCCATGTTCGGCGTTCTGTTACTACCACTATCGTGCTGTAGGATATTTCAAGGTGCGTCGCTGTAGCATCTTCCTCGTTGTCCCTTACCTTTGCCTTTTCCTTTGCTGCCTAGCTTTGCAGCGAGGTTATCGTGGACAACTTCGGACGATCTTTCCTCTGTGTACCCTCCTTTGGTGATCTCCTCGGTCATGTTGACGTCGAGCTTTGCCTCCCCATGCATTGGTGGCCAGTAGCCGTACGACCGGTCATCGTACGAAGCCTGCGCGGTGTCCTCGTGGTGGCCGTCGGTCAACCAGGCGGTACCGCCCCCAGCAATATTCGGATGTGTAGCCGCATGCGTAATATCCGTAAGGGTTCTGCTCTTCTGGATGGGACTCCTCCTGTTCCCAGCAACTGTCGCGGGCGGTGTGGAACATTTGCTTGAGCTTGCCTTTGCCCTTGTTTCTGCTGGGTTCGCCAGGCGTGCACTTCCATGAGGAAGAGCCATTGCTGTTCGCGTCTCCCTTGCTCCTTTTGGCAGATGTGTATACGGCCAGGCTGACGGATCATGACATCCCTACGATTGTCGAACATGGTAGCGCTATCTGTTGTCATCAGTACCATCCCGCTCTTGGGGTGAGAAGCCCGCGAAGTCCAGGAGAGGCGATCCGAGCACAGTCATCACTCATGACGAATTTCGAGTCACGCTTCGTGAGAAGCTTCCGCCAGCGTTCCCTGCGAGAGATACACGAGAACAGCGACTCGCCACTCGGTCGTGACATCGAACCACGAGGTCTCTGCCCAACTTGGAACAGAACCTTTGTTTCCTGAGCCTCAGCGGGATGGAGTGATGGGCGAATCGCTTGTATCAACAAATCGATACCTTTCGCGGCCAGAAGCGTATCGCTACCGATACCCATAGTTATGTCGAATGCGTCGCCTCTACGGCCCCCTACAACCTTTTTGACGGGTGTGGACAATCACTGCTGACAAAACGCTTTCAAGTCTCGGGGTCTGTCGCAGCTAGAGAGGCGCTCATGCGAATCTCTGCGCGGAACTCCCAGTCGGGAAACTTGTTTACGGTGTCGTCAAAGATGTAGGAGCCGCTCTTCGTCGCGAGCCGTGTCAACGCGTCTTCTCTCGATCAGTAGCGAAGAGAAGATCATGCCTTGGCGGTGGTCAAACAGTTTCCTGGTAGAGGCAACTCCTCCTTAGCACTCCCCCGCAACGAGATGAGCCCACAGCACAGTGGCATGATGTCCGAGGATCGTAGGCAGCTCCGCTGCCAGTGTGTATGGCGCTGCTTTGTCAACCTTGGCAACAAGGGGCCCTAACAACGAACCGGTGGCGATTGGCGCTCGCACGTGCCATGCGCGCGTTCGCTATCACAAGGAGGATGCTGCTGCTGACGAGGGTGAGGAGAAAGAGAAACGGAGGGGGAGAAGGAAGAGGACGAGGTGGGGCGCGGCGCTGCGGAGTCAAAACGAGGGCCTAACACACAGGAGGGCTAAGAATCCGAAGGGGGGGGGCTAGAAACCACGGGAACCCCTCCCACCCTCAACCGCCCCCCCCCGAAAAAAGACTGGGAGGTCTGGACCCCCGCCGACCCCGGGAAACTTACTCGGGGGGTCCAGGACCCCTCCCACCCCCCACTCCCGGCAACGACGCCGACGACGACGCCGCCGCCGCCGCCAGCAGCCGACGTGGACGACGACGACGAAGACGACGACGACGCCTAAGACGCCTACGACGGCACCGGCGACGGCGACAACGTCCACGGCGGCGGCGGCGCACCTGTCGCCGGCGCCCGCGCCAGGCGCTGGCATTGACAGCTGGAGCCAGCTCTCATAGAATCCTACTGGGGCCCGATCCAACTCTGACAGAATCCTGCAACTGGGGCTGGACCCAACTCTAAATCAAATCCCATCTCGGCGTGCAAGATGATTGGCTGTCCTCCTCCCCCATTTCCCAAGTCCCTGGGGTCTATAATTCGATTAGAGGAGGGGGGAAGGAGCCGCGCTCGCCAGTGCACCCCCAGAGTCTCTGGAGCTTCCAAATCTGCCTTCCGCGGCCTCAAAGATGTTCCAAGACGGTCCCGAATCGCGGAACTATTGGCCTAAGATGCTTGCGATGGCTCCAAGACGCCCCAGGACGCCTTTGAGACGCCCCAGGAGCCTCCCCAAGAGGGCCCCGAGAAGCACAAATGACGTTTTTCCTTATGTCTTTCATTGTTTCTGGGGTCATCGTCTTCTCGAGCTTCAGACGCTCCAAGACGGCCCAAGAGACCCCGTGGACCGCCCCACGGCTGCCCAAGAGGCCCTTGCGCAGGCCACAGGACGGCCCACGAGGGCTCCAAGACGGCCCAAAGAGGGGCCCAAGACGGCCCAAAGTCGCCCCAAAAGGGCCCTAAGAGAAGCAAAGAGGGAGAACATGGACCGAACATCCGACCTTTCCCCCGCCAGAGGCCCCCCAAAGGCCACCCCAAGGCCTCCAAGCGGCCCAAGAGAGGCCCCCCAATCAGCCCCATACGGCCTCCAAGCGTCCCTACGGAGGCCCCAAAACGGGCCCCAGTACGCTTCAAAACTGTCTCCAAGAGGCTCCGCCAAGCCCCCAAACAGCCCCCAAGACGGCCACGATGGCCCCCGGCTTGTGCCCAAGAAGCCCGGGACGCCTCAACTGTGGACTCCCCGCCTCGAACCTTACGGCTTTAGGCGTGGGTAGGGCATCGCGCGGACGAGGGCGTCAGAGTTCTTGCGCTGCCAGTCCGAAGCCAGGCACGCCTCGAGGATGGCAGCTTCAATAGCCGCGCCCGCCTTGGCGAGGCGCAGGAGCTCGGCCAGGCAGGCGTCCGCCCCGCTCGCGAGGGCAGGGAGCACGATCGCAGCCAAGAGCCGCGCCGTCTGCAGGATAATCCTCAGGCGCAGCTCGCGCGCCGCCGCCGCGCCGCAGCTCCATCTTCCGCAGTCCTCTCGCGCCGAACTGGGGCCCATGCCCTGGTTCTGGGCTGTGCGATGGCGTCCGCGTGGCCCAGGACCAGCCAGTCCGACGTCAGCTCGCTGTCCTCGAGGTCGGCTTGGGCGTTCCACGTTGCTCCTACTGCCGCACTTCCGACGTCGTCGTCATCTGATCCAGCTCCTTCGGAGTCCACAGCCGAGTCTACGACTTCGGCCATTTTTCCGAAAATGCCTGGCAATAGGTGGCCGACCGTGCGCCGCTCGACCGGTCTCACGCGCAGGTTCAGGTGCTGGAAAAAGAAACTGGCCCAGCACGGGACCATCCCCAGTCCGCGCCTCTCCGCGCAATCGATCACCATGCCTCTCAGCGATGAGCGTCCGGCACCTCTGGAGTTCGCTCTCCTCTCCGATGTCGTCGCGTTGCGTCTGCTGCTGCGCCGAAGAGCAGGCCGCGCAGGAAGACGCCTGCGCCTGCGGCTGCCTGGCGGGGCGCTGCCGTCGAGCGGGAGGAGGCGCCAGCAGACATTTTAGGCTAGACCACGTCCACCTGGGGGCTGACCTTGTGGAGGACGCCCTTGTCGTGCGGGATGTCGCTCAGCGTGGTCTGCTGAGCAAGCGCGAGCTTTCGCCGAGGGTCCGAAACTTGGGTCCGCACGTCCGCCATGTTGTGGCAAGAGGCCAGAACACGTCGTCGAACTGCATGTCCGACTCACTCCCCATGGCGCTCTGGAAGGCAATCATGCTGATGTTGAGGTCGCGCTGCAAGTGCTCCATGTGGTGCGAGAGCTGGGTGCGCGCCGTTAGAGGAAGAGTGCGCGAACATGCGCGTGCCAACTCCGCCTCTGGAAATTGCACCCTGCCGCGAGGCCAATGATAATATTAATTTACGAGAGACTCCGACTGTCGTCTCTTCTAACGGCACAGTGGCCATGGGCAGCGGAAGCGGGCATGCCGAGCGTCGTTGGCGATCTGTATGACCTCGTTCGCGAAGGAGCGACGGAGTCCCGTGCGCTCCATCGAGGCCAAGAAACATCAGAAGGACTGCCAGGCGTAGACGGACCCCCAGTACTGAATTTAGCTCTAAGGCATGAAAATGGCAGCCCGCACACACTGGCCAGTAACCGAGATGGCATGAAAGCGTCGCATCGAGAAAAAAGGGGAGGCGAGCGGGCGGGCTGTACGGCGTGCCGTGGCACGTGGTGCAAGGGTCCGTGACATTCTGGGCTCGCCCAGGGCGCGGCCTGAGCCAGCGCGGCTACGGAGAAGGGGCGAGGAGGAGCAAGATGAAGGGGCCCCAGGACACACAAATAAATACACACAAATAAAACTATTCCCCATATTTTCCTATATTTTCTGGGCTTTTGTCTTCCCCCACATTTCCCATAGTTCCCATATTTTCTGAGGAATCGACGATTAATCGTGTCTGTGTTTTTTCCCCTCACAAGAGAATGGAGGCACATGACCCTGGACACGGCACAAGGGACGAGCGCCTGCTGCAGCGCCGGCTGCAGCACGGGCGCCGCGTGCGCCGACGGCAGGGCGGGCGCGGGCAGCAGCTGCCAGTGGGGCGCCGTCTGCAGGAGGCTCGCCGGCACCGACACCTGAAGCCCGCCGCGCCCCTCGTGCGGCCGCCGCTGAGGCTCCTGATCCTGCTCCTCCTCGTCCTCCTCCTCCTCCTCATCCTCTTCTTCCTCCTCCTCCGCTTCCCCCGCTTCCTCCTCCTCCGCCGTCCTCCTTCGCTTCTCCTCCTCCTCCTCCGCCTCCTCCTTCCTCCTCCTTCCTCCTCCTCCTCCTTTTCCTCCTTTCTGCTCCTCCTCCGCTTCCTCCTCCTCCTCCTCCTCCTCCTCCTCCTCGCCCTACTCCGTTTGCTCCTCCTCCCCCTCCTCCTGGGACTGGCGGCCAGGCTTGTGCCACACGACAGGCCACATTCCGACTACATCCACGAGCGCGATGATGAAATGAAGCAGCGCGACGAGCCCCAGCTCCTCCTGCTCCTCCTCGCCCTGCTGCCGCGGAGGCTCGCCGGCACCGACACTTGGAGCCCGCCCTGCCCCTCGTGCCGCCTCCGCTGGGGCTCCAGATGCTACACGGCCAGTCGCCCTGAGGAGCGGAGGGCGCTTGGTGAGGAAAAGGGTAGGAATGTCCACGCTGTGTCGTACCAGGTGGTGGGAATCCATCATGTACCGGCAAAGGCTTCTGAGGTTCCCACGATGGGCAACGCATGTGTAGGTAAACTTGTTGGGGTTCGCTGTGTGCGCGAATGTGTGTGTGTTGGCAAGTTTGTTGGGGCGCCCTGTGTGTGTGTCGGCAGAGTCGTTGGGTCATTGTTGGTTTTCCCTGCATGCGTTGGCAAAGTTGTTGGGATGCACGGTGTGTGGGTTGTGCAGACCGTTGCGGCACGTGTGGGCTCGACAGTGGGGCTGGATGACGAGGTGGCCAGAACGCGGCGCATGCTGGTTGCTTTGCCGAAGAGGGTTGGGGGCTTGTTGGTGTTTTCCTTGCCGTCGCTCAGACGTCCATTTCCCGTGCATGTGTCGGTTTCGTGCGTGTTTTGTTTGCTCGATGGTCCAGGATGGTCCTCGATGGTTCTCGCCGAGAAAAAATGCACCCGTCCGAGCGATGCCAAGTTTCTGAACGCGCTGGGGAGCTAGTTGGCACACCGAGAGAAGGTAATGTGTCACTTGGGCTTCGGGGTACATCGCTGCGTTCGGGCGCTTTGGGGCTCTCGATGCAGCGCGGGCCTCTCTCAGGACAGCGAAGAACAAACTCACACTCTCGGGATCTGGGCGGCGCGACAGGGCAGCCCAGCCCGCTTGGTCTGCTTGGTCTGTTACTGCTGCGCTGCTGAGCCCACCAGGGCTAGCGCAGATTGCCGTTGTTCGTGTTTGGTGCTTGGTCATTTGTGCTGCGGAGTTCGGCCCGCGGCAGCGGCTCGCTACAAGGTCTGCATATTCCTTAAACATAACGCTCACCGCCCTCTTCCCTCGACCCTTGTGTCCCTCCTTCCTCCACCTTGTCCTTTTCCCTGGGACTCTGGCTCGGGCTCCTCGTTCCGCTCGGACCCCCCGCCCCTCATCCTCATCCTCATCGTCGTGGCCCTCTTGCACCTCTTGGCACGTGGCTTGGGCGCCGTCCCTCTCGACCACCCTCTGGCTCCTGGTCCTCCCTCTCCTCCTCCTCCTCCTCCTCCTCCTCCTCCTCCTCCTCCTCCTCCTCCTCCTCCTCCTCCTCCTCCTCCTCCTCCTCCTGCTCCTCCCCCTCCTCCTTCAACCCCGAGCGGGGGCCCGGTACCTGCTTCATGGTGCCAGTGCCACACTTGCTCTGGGCCACACTGGCAAGAACTTTGGGTACGGCATGCAGGCGCAGGAAGGCGGCCTTTTCTGGACAGGCGCGTCCCACACCTCGCAAATCAACTACTCACAAATTGCCTGGATCCGCAGCGGGGGACTTACGACATATGGCATAGGAGGAAGATCTGGTTGCTTCGGACGTTTGCGAGTAGGCACTTTGCGAGTAGTGGAACGCGCTCGGCGAGTTTCTTCAAGTGGACAGGAACGAGTTCGGCTCCCTGGCATCTGCAGCATGGCCCACCGCTGCGGCGACAGCAGCATGCAGATCGCGCAGTTCCTCGGAGTGGCAATGCCATGTGGCACGTGAGTGGTGGGACCTGCGGCTCTATTCCTGGGCGGCGATCCCCAGCTTGGAAGCTTGGTGCTCCCCGTGGGACCCCGTTAGCCCGCTCCCCTCACATTCTTTTAAAAGAATGTGAGGGGAGCGGGCCGGAAGCGCCGGAAGCGCCGGAAGCGCCGCAAGGGGGGGCCCAACGCCGATCCAAGACCTCCGCTCGGACCTACGAGACATCATGTGTGTATGTGCCGCTGTCTGCTCTTCTGTTCTGCCTGCCCACGTGCACAGCGACGTGTCGCTACGACGTGACGTGCCCCTTTGACCTGACGTGACTGTGCAGCGCTCGTCGCCAAGCGCGTTCCACCACTGACGATGCAACCACTCGCAGATGGCCCGGATCTGCTGCGGGGGATCTGCGATCCACTACATCGAGGCAAACACGTGTTTTCTTTCGGACGTTTGCGAGCAGGCACTCTGCGAGTAGTGGAACGCGCTCGGTGAGCTTGGTCCAGCAGTAGACGCCTCCTAGATGGGGTCAGAGTGGAGGAGGTCGGAGGACCGCGCCGCATCGCCGATACATCGGCGACACATCGCCGATGCCTCGGCGATGCATCGGCGATGCATCGGCGATGCGCCGGCGACGTCGGTGTGGACAAGGCCGGGCTCCGCACCGAGCCGCAGCGGCGATGCATCGGCGGTGCGGCGCGATCCTCCAACCCCATCCGCTCCGACCCCACCTGGGAGAGGCCTAGAATCAGGAGGGGACAAAACACACAGAGACACAATTAATCGTCGATTCCCAAGAAAATATGGGAACATATGGGAATGGGGGGGGAAGACAACAACCCAGAAAATATGGGAAAGTATGGGGATATGTTTTTTTAGTTGTGTGTCTTAATTTGTGCGTCCCAGGGCCCCCTCATAGAAGCCGACGGGTCGCGGCGACGTCGCTGTGCCGTGCCCTGGCCCTATCAGCCCGCAGCCGTCCGCCCGCCCGCCCGCCGCCGGAGCGCGGCCTGGCCGGCGGGCCCCTGGGCGGCGCCCTGCGCCAGCGGCAGCGGCGGCAGCGCCAGCGGGCCCTGCCGGGCGCAGGGCGAGGGGCTGCGCGCGGGGCGGAGGCGGGCAGCGAGGCGGTGCAGAGGACGGCCGCCTGCTGCAGGGCGAGGAGTGCGGGATGCGGTACGAGGGGGAGACGAGCCGACTCCTGGAGCCCTGCACCCCGAGGTGACCCCCAAAAGCCCCCAAGGGGCTCCCAGGGCGCCCCCATGAGGCTGGTACGGCGAGGGCACTGTGCAAGGAAATCCAGGGTTAAGTCGGGCATGTCCTTCTGCAGGATAACAAAACATCAAAAGTAGCCAAAACAAAAAAATGGGGACGATGTTTCGACTATCTCTGAGAAATTGTGGACATGTTTGACTATTTTTGATGTGTCGTCCAAAATCCGCCTGGGGGGGACATGCCCGACCTAACTCTAGGGCAAGGGATCCAGGGTCTGGAAGCCAGCGGGACACCAACTGGGACTTGGCCATGGATGTCGCCGCCGCCCTCCTCAGGCCAGGCATCGGCCTCCTGGGTGTATTTTAGGGGGCAAACAGACATACCTCGCTTTTGACCACCCTCGGTTCCAAGAGGTACCAAGCGATGCCAAACTACGGCCTGCACTGGTTAGCCCGCTTGACGAGGAGGCGCGTGGTATGACTTGGTTCTGCGTGGAAGCGAAAGCGGGGTAGGTAACTCACGCTCTGAGCATTCCTTGTCGAACGCCTCCACCGTATGAGGATTCTGTCGAGAGCGGGGGCGTTTCCGATGGCCCGGGGCGTCCAAGTACCATCGCGAGGGCCACGTGCTCCTGAACAAAAATGGCGGCGGGAGCTGCTTGGAATCGACCACCATCCCTGATCAGGAGGCCTGTGGCAGTAGCTCGCTTCCCACACGAGAGAAGCAGAACGGCGAGGAGAACAGGGAGAAGGAGCAGAAACAGGAATTCATCGCTCCCAGCGCTGGTCCTTTTGACAGCGCACGCCTGCAGCGTATGCTTACTTCTCTGCTAATCATGCACTTTGTGGCAACACTTGCCAATCATGCTATGTCATCGGCGCCCACTGATAGAAGCCACGACGGGTGCATGGCTCCGGCGTGAACCGTATCTCTCAGGATGAACGGTGCTACTTGCGTCGTTTCGGCAGCGGGTGCAGTGCAGGTGGGACATTTCTTCCCACCTGCATCTGCAGCTGTCGTTCTAAAAAGCAGTGAATCTGAGCTAGCCATCAGGGCAGGTTGGATTGATAGCAGCGTCCCCTCCTTATCCTCCCCCTACTTATCCTCCCCCTCCCCCTCCTCCCCCATGCCGATGTCGACGTTGGTTTCTGACACCACGTGGACTGTTCAGCCTTCAGCGACCCAGGCTCCCCGACAGCACAGATCGACGTCGGCCGACTCCAGGTGACTGCCTGCACTCAGCCTTGAACAACTTGGGGACGACGGCCCAGGGGGAGAGCGAGAGAGGGGGCAAGCCGTCTCAGAGGGCGGCGGGGCTTCTCAGGAGCCCTCCGGCCTTCTGAGAAGCCGTCTCTCTTCGGAGAAGGCTCAAAACACAGCCGGACCTGGGACAGAAAAACATCCCTCACGAA